GTGCTCTTCATATCATCTAATGACCCAACCCAATCACTATGTGAGTAATCCTGCAACTCAAAATTTTCAACTTTACTGAATTTGATCCCAAAAGACAATATGCCTTTCAAATATCTCAAAACCCTCTTTCCAACAACYATATGATTCTTGATTGCACAGTGAAGAAATCTAGATAAGACACTTACAGTGTACATGATGTCAGACCTAGTGGATGTGAGATACATGAGATATTCAAGTAGACTTCTGTACGCATTCTCGTCTATAGGTTCCTCTCCATCATCCTTTTGCAACTTCTCCTTCTRAATCATTGGAGTGTTCACACTCTTACACTCCTTTATATTGAACCTCTTCAATATCTCTCTCATGTACTTCTTCTGACAGAGAAACACTTTATTCCGCCTTTGCTGAATCTCCATACCAAGGAATTAATGCATCAGACTTAGATCGGTCATCTCGAACACCTTCATCATTGCTTGAACACCTCTATCTGAACATTATCACTTCATGTCACCAGCAAGTCGTCTACATAGAGAGATACAATCACATCAGCATTACCTGATTTTTTCACATAGAGTGTGGATTCACTCAGACTCTTCACAAAACCCAAGTTCAGTAAGTGGTCATCCATCTTGCTGTACCATGCCCTAGGAGCTTACTTCAACCCATAGAGAGTCTTCTTYAATAAATAAACCTTCTACTCTTATCCTRGTGTGATGAATCCGTCTGGTTGCTCAACATAGATCTCTTTTTCTAACACTCTATTTACGAATGCTAACTTCACATCTAGCTGATATAYCTTCCATCCATGCTGAGCTGGCACATCCAGTAACATCCTGATTGTGTCCATTCTTGCAACCGATGCAAAAGTCTCGGAGAAATCAACTCCTCATACTTGTATATACCCTTTCACCAGTAACCTGGCCTGGAGCTTGTTCATAGAACCATCTGGATTTAATTTAGTCTTGAAAATCTATTTGACTCAAATCACCTTTTTGTCAGTAAGCTTCTCCACTAGCTCTCATGTCTTGTTCTTCTCTATCATTCTCAACTCCTCTTTCATT